TTTAGATTTCAGGCCTGTATAATGAATGGTGGCATGATTTGCTGAAATGGGGAACACTGAAAGGGAATCTAACTTGGGTGGGAAAATGATGGTTGTGCACATATTGAATTTCAGGTGGCATGGAGGGTTCCAAATAGAGATGTCAAGTAGGCAATTGAATATTAGCCCAGAGGAGAAGCCTGAACAGGGGATATACATTTATAATTTATGTATTATTGGAAATTAAAACATTTATTGTAGGTAAGACTGCATAAGAAGTCACTGTAGAATGAAAAGAGGTCCCAAGTCTTGACCTTCAAAGGAGAAAGAAAATGAAAGGCTATAGATAGAGGAAGAAAACCCGAGGAGTGTTATGAAGGCCAAGGGTGTAGTGAACACAGTTTAGTATAATTTCAAATAGTGAGAGCTCAGGAAGATAAAGACAGGAAAATTTGTTCATTAACTTTAGGTTGAGGGAGACATTCATAAACTTGTGAGAATCATGAATTAGATTAGAAGTGTGATTGGACTAGTTAAAGAATGACTGGAGTGAGGAAGCAGAGATAGAATTTTACCTATCTATAAACATGGCAAGAGAAATGTTTTTCCTGTAAGAAACAAAATTCAGTTTCCAGACCTCCTTTAATAGCATCACTTCTGCACATGGTAGTTTCTCATTTGATAGGACTCAAAGGATGACTACACCATGATCTTGCTAAAAAATGGCTTCTCTTATTACCTCAAACTATTATTTTTTCTTCCCACAACTGGGGCTAGTTGATCCCATCCTGTATTCTTAATAATGTTGCTGTCTCAGGGATTATTACAGTCTTTCTGTAAGAGTATTTAATAGTTCTGATCTAGGACTTTGGGACAGATAATTAATAACTTGCTACTAATGTGACTAGTCCTTTCCCCAAGAATGAAATGGGGCTTATACTTACCTTGAAGCACTGTAGTACAGCACAGTTGATTTAACTAGATTTCTGCTTGTAGGGTAAATGAAAATCATCAGGCTTTTCCGCCCTCCTGCTATTAGCATTAATGATGGATGGACCCTGTGGTCCTACATGTGTGCCTGATGGTGAGCACCTGGACTAGGATGTGGGCATGCATAGGTGGGCGCACTTCTGCTGAGGCTGGGCTTATAAAGGGTGGCATAGCGGGGCCACCAGCCGAACCAGCAGGAAAGAGAAGCAGAACGAGAGCAGAACCATCAGAGCAGCAAAGGAGAAGCAGAGGCCACAGATCATGAGAGAACACCAGAGAGCCCAGAATGAGTGAAGATTCACTGGGGGCTGGGAGGCCTGCCTGCCCCCCGGCCCCTCTGCCTGCCGTGTACCTGGGTGTCGCACTACCGATGGTATAAAAATCTCAATAAAAGCCTGAAAAGCCACTGACTCTCCTTTACCAGTCTGCCTGGATCATAGAGAACCTGCTCTGTGCCTTCCTGGTGCTACACTGGTCCACTGTGCCTTCTTAATTTACCTAGTACTCTAGGTATTTAAACTGAAAAAAAGTATTGACTTTTCTAATTTTCCTCTTCCGTCTTTTTTCCCCCCATTAGGGGTCAACAATATATTGAGAAGTATCCCAGAAGTAGTAAGCATATAGCATATAGTAAAGCATATAGTAAAATGTATAATTTATCTCACATAAGGAAAGATGATACTTCTAAATGGTGGGAGAAGCTCTAATGCAGAGTTTAATGGTCCACCTAAAATCATGCCTGTTCTGGTTCATGTTTTATGGGCTTGAACCCCCTGAATTAGTGATTGTTTTGTGTTTTGTGTTGCAAACCTGTTGGGAAACTGTCAGGAAAAAACAGTGCATAACTTGAAGTTACAGTTAATAAAACTGGCATTGCTGTTTGAATTTAATGATACTAGTTGTGAAAAAAGTATGTATGCTTTTGTGATTAAGAAGATAATAATTAAGGGCCTCCCTGGTGGCACAGCAGTTGAGCACTGGGTTGCGAAGCTGCCCGCAGTTCGATCCCCTGCTGCTCCCCGGCCACTGGAGGAGGGTCCCACATGGAGCGCAGACCTCTCCTGCCGCCCGTTGCTCCCCTCAACAGTGTACTTCGGTCCTTCTGCCTGTTCTGCTCCCCGCTCTGGCTCTGGTGAATTCTCTCACCCTCCTGCGCTTCTGACTGTACCCAGTGCTTGTATAAACAAACAAACAAATAAATAAAAATAAATCTTAAAAAAAAGAGAAGATAATAATTAAGACAGGATATGTCAACATATGTATAGAAGTGGACAAACTATGACCCACAGACAAAATTTGGCCCATTAATCTGATTTTGTGTAATCAGAGAGTTAGAAATGATTATTACTTTTATAAATGGTTGAATTTTTTTAATAACATTTTGTGACTGTAAAAATTACATGAAATTCAATTATTAAAATTTCAGTGTCCATAAAGTTGTATTGTTGCAAAACAGCCATTCTCATTCATTTATATATTGTCAGTGACTGCTTTCTGGTTCATACTTTTAGGTTCTACTGAAGAACTACTTACCTAACTTATCTAAGAAGTATTTGTTTGACCCAAGGTCACTTTTTCAAGAGGTCCTATAGTTTTAGTCATTATGTTTTGTTCTGCAATACACTGATTTTTTTTTTTGTGTGTGTGTGTGTGTGTAAGGTATTATATATGAGTTGAGGTTCTTTTTTTTACACATGGATGTCCAATTCTGCTGAATTTCTCATTGCTTAAAAGATGTTTCTGGGCTTCCCTGGTGGCACAAGGGCTTAACACACAACCTATGAAGCTGTCCGCATCCTCCCCGGCAGCCAGGGAGCAACCCACATGGTGCAGCAGACCTCTCCTGACTCGCCCGGTGCTCCCCTCAGCACTGTACTTTGGTCAATCTGCCTGTTCTTTTCTCCATCTGTCATTGGTCAATCCTCTCACCCTGACACACCTCTGGCCTGTACCCCAGTTCTTGTATGCATAAATAAATAAATCTTTAAAAAGAAGTTGTTTCTCCATTGAATTATCTTGCACCTTCGTAAAAATAAATAGCCATGTACGTATTTGGACTTTTTGGACTGTGTTCTGTTCCATTGGTATATATGTTTATCCTTCGCTAATTCCAAATTGATTTGATTACTTCTGTAGCTTTTATACTGAGTCTTAAACTCAGGTACTATAATTCCTACAGATTTCTTCATCTTTTTCAAAGTATTTTGCCTGTTATAGGAATCTTGCTATTCCATATACATTTGAGAATAAAATTTTTAATTTTTTCAGAGAAATCATACTGAGATTTTTTTTATTATAATCACATTGAATTAGAGAATTAACAATATTGTCATCTCATTGATGAAGAGTATATTTTCACATTATTTATATTTCCTTTGATTCTTTTATCTGTTTTATAGTTTGATGATGGAAATCTATAATATTCCCACCCACTTGTACCACAGAATGGGATTTCTCTCCATGCTCCTGCCACTTCCTCAGTAGTAGAGAACTGGTGCTTATTTCTTGATTCTAGGGTTGTGGTAGAAGCAGGTGTGTTTTGTTATGTTTCTCTACCCTCCAACTTTGACAAGCTTGTCAGTCTGGCCATACGGATAAGGCTTGCTCAGCGTTACTTAGCCTCTTCTTCCCATGGAGCAAATCTGCCTTGTATCCTGCTGATAAAAGACCTTTGATTGGTGGGTAGGATCCTGGATTCAAGACGGTTTCCTGTGTTTCTTTCATGGGTAGATTTTTTATTCTTCAACCTTTTCTGTGCTTTAATGGATCTTTGCCTTTGTCCTGTGGCTGACGGAGTAACTTTTTTTCCCTGAGGCTTATATATAGTTGTCGCTCTTTTAGGAAAGAAGATCTGGGGAATTGTGCCTATGATCTAGTAGCTATAATAGCTACATCTTTTACACCTGCATACATGCTCCCTCTGTTTTTATGATCTGCTCCCCGTCTTCCTCATGAATACCCAGCGGAGGCTTGTGAAAAAGCGCTTGAATTCTGGACCCCAAGCTATTTCGGGCTGTCCTGTTTAGTTATATTTGGCCTTTTGCAGACTTAAAATTTTACTGATTTTCTCTTACCTGCCTATATGGTGGCCACTTCTTTATCCTGTACTCTTCCAAAGTGGAAACAGCATGTCTGTTTCTCTTTGGAGTAGCTTATGGTTTTTGGAATTCAGATCGTTTGCCTTATAACTTCAGTTCTTTTATGGGCTCATGAAAGGTTATTTTTTTAAAAAATTATTTAGCCTTTTGTCATTTTTAGGATAGTGGCATTATTTACAGCTTTGTAATCATAAGTGGAGCTAATTATAGTTTTAAAACTAATTTTCCTTATAGAGACAAAGGAAGTGAAAAGTTCTATCACTATTTTTAACTAGAGTAAATAATACCCTTCTCTGGGCATCTTTTTATTATCCTCTTATTTTCTCTTTAAAGTAAAATTTGGACTTTTATTTGTATAGCCTTATTTGGTAGGATTTTTATTGTTTCATAGTGCTTTTACAGCCAATTAATATCCAGTGGGTTGAACAGATTTGAACAATTAGTGAGAGCACACAGCCTGTGGTTTTACCTCTGTTTGGATTCTTAAGACCCCTCCAGTTGAGAGTCTATGTTAATGCTTATGAAGTTCGTAGGTTCTGGCTTACTGTGTAACTCATATTAAGTCCCTCTATTTCTAAAATAGCTGTTGAAAGATAATGTTAGTATTTTGGTATGTATGATTGAAAATATTATGCAAGTAGTAGGTAGAAAATTTACAATTATAATTCAAAGAAATATCTCCATAAATGTGTTAATTGGTTTTTAAGTCAACATGTTCAGAAGGCAGACTAGTCGCAACACTTTTACTGTATGATGTGCCTTACAAGACGTTATTTTATAATTGGAAATTTAAATTTTTATACTTCTAGTCTCACCCTTTGGATGGTTTTTAGATGTAAAATTGTGTCTAACGGTTGTGTCTGTATCTGTACATCTCTCTGTATTTTTCGCTTCCATCTGGAAACCAGTTTTTTCTTATGTTTTTGTCTGTAGAAAACTTCATCAGCAGTTTGAAATGTATAAGGAGCAGGTAAAGAAGATGGGAGAAGAATCGCAGCAGCAGCAAGAACAGAAGGGTGATGCCCCGACCTGTGGGATCTGCCACAAAACAAAGTTTGCTGATGGATGTGGCCATAACTGTTCATATTGCCAAACAAAGTTTTGTGCTCGTTGTGGAGGTCGAGTTTCACTACGCTCAAACAAGGTACGGAATGAAAATTACACATACTTCTTTTACAGTGAAGTTTATTGTGAATAAAGTAGACAACTGAAACTAATATTCATATTTACCTTCCCTAATGTCTTCATTGTAGACAAGTGAAATTTAGAAATTTTTGTATGAACCAAAAAAGATTTGTTTTATCGTTTATGTCCTTCAGCTTATGATTTTGTTTAAAATCCTAGGATCTTGAGGCTTTCAAAGAGAATTTAGAGATCAGTTGGCCTCACACCTTAATTTTGCAGGTGCAGAAAGCTCTGATTCAGAGAGACCAAAGCTATTTTTTTAAATCACAGAACTGATTAATGTTAGATGAGATTCTGTATAATTTTGTAGCTTTCAAAGTTTCCTTTTATTTTTGTTTTAAAATAAGAATTACATTGTGGATTTAAAGAAATGTTAAGGAGGTGCTTATATTAGATTTTCATATACTGTCCACCTGCTTTTGGGTATATGTTAATACCACCGAAAAAAAACTTTGAAAAAGTATTTTAAATGTCTCTATAAGGCCTTTAGAATTTGCATTTATCTCCTTAGTAGCATCTTATCACTCAGTTCTTTACTTAGGTAGTTTTAACATAGGAAGCTGATATGTTTACATATGTTACTAAAACATACCTTATAAGAATATGTTACCTTGTGTGATTTTTTATTTCTGCATTTTCTCATTGTTCCCTGTTTCTCATTGTTTTCTTTGACAGGACTAATAACTTTTCTTTACATATCCTAGTCTTTTCCCTTGGTTTATATGACTATTTTGAGTAGTTGCATTAACTAGAAACTCTAGCACTCTTCTGAATAGAAATGGTAGAAGCAGATATCTTGCTTTTTTCTTGGTCTGAGGGAAAAAAGCATTCAATCCTTCACTATTTAAAGTATTAAGTTAATGATCAGCTTTTCATCAATGCCATTTATTCTTAATTCGATAGTTTTTTTTTTTTTTACATCAGGGTAAGTGTTGGATTTTGTCAAATGTTTTTTCTTCATTTATTGAAATTAATCATATATTTTTCTTTCTTTTACAGCTTTTAAAATAGCAGTTTTATTGAATTATGTATATATAAATACATATTTATTGAAGAAGCATTCATTTATAATATTATATAGGTTTCAGGTGCACAGCATTATAATTTAGTGTATTGTGCTTGTCACTGAAAGTCTTGTTTTCATCTTTCAGCAATTGACCCTTTTAGTCACCTCCTCCTCCCGCCCCACCCCACTGCCAACCCCGTTACCTTCTGGTAATCACTATTTTGTTTTTATAATCCAACCATTTATTTTTTGTTTTGTTTTGTTCATTCATTTCTCTTGTTTCTTTCATCTACCACATGAGTGAAATCATACAGTGTTTGTCTTTCTCATTTGACATATTTCACTAAGCATAATACATCCAAGTTCATGTATATTGTTGCAAATATAGCAGGATTTCATTTTTCTTTTTTGGCTCCTGAGTAAGTACTTTACTGTGTTTTAGTAACTGTAAGTACTTTACATATGTTTTAGTAACATATGTAAACATATCAGCTTCCTATGTTAAAACTACCTAAGTAAAGAACTGAGTGATAAGATACTACTAAGGAGATAAATGCAAATTCTAAAGACCTTACAACTAATACCACATCTTCTTTATCCATGCATCTGTTGATAGGTTGTTCCTGCCTCTTAGATGTTGTGAATATTGCTGTGATTATCAGGGGAGTGCATATCTCTTTGAATTAGTGTTTTTGTATTCTTTAGGTAAATATCCAGAAATAGGATAACTGGATCATACAGCATTTCTACTTTTAATTTTTTTGAGTAATTTCCATTCCTCCAGCATGTACAAGAGTTCCTTTTTCTCCTCATCCTCTCCAACACTTGTTGTTTCTAATGTTTTGGAGAATAGCCATTCTCACTGGTATGAGGTGATATTATGCATTTTTGTTTTGATCAGCATTTCCTTAATAATAAAAGATGATGAATATCTTTTCTTGTGCCTATTGGCCATCTCCATGTCTTCTTTGGAAAAATGTCTATTCAGATCTTCTGCCCATTTTTTTTGGATTTTTTTTGGTTGTTGAGTTATATGAGTTTTTTAAATACATTTTGGATAGTAGCCCAAGTCAGATCTATGGTTTATATATATCTTCTGCCGTTCTGTAGGATACCTTTTTGTTTTGATGGTAGTGTCTTTTGCTGTGCAGAAGTCTTTTAGTTTGATATAGTCCCATTTGGTTGTTTTTGCTTTCATTTCCCCTGCCCTTGAAGTTGAATCTCCAAAGACATCTCGAAGGCTGAGGTCAAGGGACATACCACCTATGTGTTTTTTTTTTTTAATGTGCATTTATGATTTCAGGTCTTACATTCAAGTCTTTATCCATTTTGAATTAGTTTTGGCATAAGATATCAGAGAGTGGATTAGTTTCATTTTTTTGTGTGTGTGTTGATCCAGTTTTCTCAATACCACTTATTGAAGAGATTTTACTTGCTGTATTGTATGCTCTTGGTTCCTTTGTCATAAATTAGTTGTCTATAAATGTATGGAATTATTTTTAAACTTTCCCTTCTGTTCCATTGATCTGTATGTTTTTATTTATCATTGAATATGATGTTGACTGGGGGTTTGTCATATATGGCCTTTATTGTGTTAGAGTATATTCCTTTTATACCCATCTTATTGAGGATTTTTTTTCATAAAGTGGTGTTGATTTTTCTTCCTGCTCTTGGTGTTTCCTCTCATGTGTGCTTAGTGATCATTAGTCAGCTGAATGCTTGCAGGAACCCTGAAGATCTCTGGGGTCCTCTTTCTGTGCAGCTCTTTCTTTTTTGGTTACCTGTCCTGTGCTGGCTTGTTGAGATTCTCTTTTGTTTTTTGCAACTCATGATATCTCACAGTCCGAGCTTTAGCTTCTCTATATTTATTACTCTGCTGCCTGGAAAGTCTCTCAAAGCAGTAAATTGGGAAATTATAGAGTTTATTTTGATGGTTTTCCATTTTTCATTTGTCACAATTCTTGTTGTCTAATGTTTTAGAAATATATGTTTTGGAAACCATCCTTTCATATATTTTGTCTGTGTTTCGAGTTTTTTTCCAGACAGGTAGAGAAATCTAGTCCTTACTACCCCATTTAGGACAGATGCAAAGTGTCTTATTATAGTTTGTATGAAGATATATTTCCTGACTTCTAACATGTGATCCCTTTATGTTGAGCAACATTATAGTCAATAAATTAAATACAGTGAAATATGGATATTCCTTGAAAATGTGTTTTTCAATTGAGGAATAATTGTATATATATATTTTTTACATCTAAGGGAAGTGTTAAGGGAAGAAAATATAAGAAAAATTAATCTAGATTTTAGCTTATAGAAGATATCCTGGATTTCCTTGATTAGTTATTAAAATTTTTATCTATAATTTACTCAGGAAGACACTCTTTTGTATGATATGCTATGAAGTTTGTCTGTATTCAAATAGATTTTGTGTTCAGTTTTTTTCCAGTTAAATAATCATTAAATATGCTCAGTTGCCTTATATAAAATAATAAGAAGGTTTTGTTCTCAATAATGTCTAAATATAATTTTTTTGATTTATCATGTTTTCGAAGGATTAAGCTTAATGAAATTTGTTCAAACTATTCTTATGAAGTAGAGTAATAAGTGTACAAATATTTTATAGCTTAAATTCTAATTATAAGCCTACTGAAAAATTATTTTAGTAATTGCCTAAGACAACAAGATAAAGTAACCTTTTGTTTTAATTTTAGGGCTCCTTCATGTGAAGCCATCCTTAACAATTTATGCAATCTTTTAAGATACATTTAGGATACAGAGAGAATAAATGAAGTATAGGTCATGGAAGTACCACGCAACGATATTTATGAAATATTGCTTCCATTTGTTTCCTTTTTAAGTTGATAGCCTCCTTAATAAATCAAAACTATATTTTTAGTCAAATTTATAAAGAATTACTTTATAAGGCAGACTTTTATTTTTTTTTTTAAATCATTGAATGGGACTTTAGTCGGAAAGATTTTTTATTTATTTTATTAATTTTTTACATCATTTTTCCTTTTTGTACAATGTACGCATTTTTATCTTGGTTATAGTCACTGTAAAATTCCCACCCCACCTTGTTTTGATACTACTCCCTTCTCCCCCCACTGTAGTGTATCTCTGGTTTGTAGTTGCCTGTTGATTGTGGTTTTTACTTTATTATAATTAGTCTTTTCCCTGATTCCTTATTTGGGTTTTCTAAATTCCTGCTATGAGTGAGACCATCCAGTATTTTTCTTTTTCTTTCTGGCTTATTTCACTGAGCATGATCCCTTCCAGCTCCATCCATGTTGCTGCAAATGGCATGAGTTTATCTTTTTTGATTGCTGAGTAACATTCCATTGTGTATATGTACCACATCTTCTTGATCCAGTCATCTGTTTTTGGTCATTTGGGTTGTTTCCATAGCTTAGCTATTGTAAATAGTGCTGCAATAAAAATAGGGATGCAGGTTTCCTTTTGAATTAATGTTTTTGTGTCCTTTGGGTAGATACCTAAGAGTGGAATTGCTGGATCATATGGAAGCTCCATTTTTATGAGGTTGGGGAACCTCCAGACAGCTTTCCATAGTGATTGGACCAGTTTGCACTCCCACTAGCAGTGCAGGAGAGTTCCTTTTTCTCCACATTCTTGCCAACAAATGTTTTTGCTAGTTTTTTTAATATGTGCCATTCTCACTGGTGTAAGATGGTATCCCATTGTAGTTTTGATTTGCATTTCCCTGATTATAAGTGATGTTGAACATTTTTTTCATGTGCCTGTTGGCTAGTAGGAAAGATTTTAAAGATAATTTACGGTGATGATTATCAGGTTTCCAAGTGTAGCAACATTATTTTTTTGCTTCTTTTATTTTTGGGTGAGAAAATAGATTACTCTCTGTTTAATAGATAATCTAATTTTTGGATAAGAAAGAATATAGATTTTTCAGAATTGTATTGTTTAGTTTATAA